TGTTGATGTAATGTCAGTCAATTATTGTAAGTCATATAATATAATTCAGATTTACTAAAGCAGCCCCTTGCATTTAAATACAAGTACCAAAAGCCCCCCTTTACACATTTTCTATGCCAAATAACCATGGTTTTTGGTTATTTTTTTATTCTAAACCCCAAACTAGTTCGAAAGCAAAGATTCAATGACTTTCTACCATAACCAGTTCCATACCCGATTTAACCGGTATCGTATCGGAACTTGTTCCTTTATATCTCGATTCGATCTTCAGTTCTAGGAAACGTTCAGTTTCGGTTTTATGTTATTCTGGTATTAATCTGGTTCTTGAAACGAACACACCCCTAGCTGTAGTAACAACCATAGATGAGGGAGAGGATGGAGAGGTTTTGGTGGTGGGTGTTTGGAGGAGATGACTAGAGATAGGAGATGGATCATCTAAGGTGTTGAAGAAATCATAGGAATGAGGTTTGTTGATTGTTATAGATCCGAACGGGAAGATAATTTCGTTAAAGACAAACACGTAGATTAAGTTTCAGAAGTGTTCAGATAAAAACGTTACAACAAATTTTACAATAATCAATAAATGCCAACACAAAATTTCATAATGACCTTAATTGATATAATAACAGGTTTTTTTAGGGAACTGTTATACGTACCCCCGATTTTATATACCTACGCCCTTCATCATTATTTTATTGGTGGCACCGGCAGCTTTTTCGTTTTTTACCAATGAATGAAAGTTACTATTTTCAACACATCGAAAAATGTGCTCTGCAATTTACCAGATATCTAAACAATGGGTCCCTCATAAAACCTATATCGCCGCTGTTTTTTTTTCTTTTGCATTCAAACTCTCTATTTTACATTCATGGTCCCTTTACTTTTGGAGTTTTTCAACTTATTTATAATTATTTAATATTTTCATTATTCTTTTATAACACAACAATAACTTAAATTTTATATAGCCCTATTAATTTATTATATTTATTTGAACGTTATTATAAATTGGTTTTTATACATTTATTTTTGTATAATAATTTATTATTTTTTACAACTTGAAAATTTTAAAACTACATACATACATACTTTTTCCATATAACTTTTACATAATTCATTACTTTTTATAACTTGCAACTTAAAAGAATAACATATCACTTCATATATATAACTTTTACAAAATTCAAAAAATAATTTATCACTTTTTTTACAACTTGCAAATTCGAAAACAATTGATTGAAGAGTTAGAGAGTCAATATTATGCATATCATAGAGTTTTTACTGACGGGTTCAATGAGGTATACCAGTCTTTGGAGAGGTCCCGAAGAGTTCCAACCCCACCGAGTCATTACGTTGGTACTTGTAAATGATATTCATTATATGTCAGTGTTTTTGAAAGACAATTACCCAATGCCTCCTACCACAGCATATTGGAATTCCCATAAAAGTCTGTCTGCATCTACATGGCAAACTATGTATTGGCCGCGTTTTGATTTATACAATCAACTTAGGTTTCGTACTTCCGAAACACATTGGATACATATTAAAGACTAAGTGTCGAATGTATTTGAACTTTTTTATTATTTTTTGCGTCAAAATATTATTTTATATTTGAACTTTTTTTATTATTTGTTGCGTTAAAATATTATTTTATTATTGTTGTGTCGTGTTTTAACCTTTTTTTTAAAAAAAAAAACTTGAATAAAAATATTTACACATCTTTTATAAAAATAGTATTATAAATTATCTATTTAATAAATGAAATAAATAATATTTTAGTAAATATAATTTATAAATAATTAATTACAAATATGTTTGTAGAAATATATCATCATAACCAAATTACTAAGAGTAAAAGGATATATTTTGTAAGCTTAATAAAATTGAAATAAAAATAATATCTTAATAAAAAGTACGAGTAATAATATTATGTATATATTTTCTTTAGTCTCCTTCACGTTTTTTATTAACTAATTATATATTTAAAAAAAACTATTAATAATAACTATGTAATCATAATTTAATTATTAAAATAATTAAAAGTTGTAATGATTAGTAAAGAAAAATAAAATGATTAGTAAAAACAATGATTGGAAAAATGATTAGAGGGTAGAAATAAATGGAGATGGGGTAGGAATAAATGAAAGCTTTTTTTATTCAACTTTATCAACCGACAAAAGTTATAACTCCAATAAAGGGAGTTATGTTACTTTTGTACCACTCCATTAAAGGTTGATGGTTCAAAACAAATGCAAAAGTATCGCCCCTATGTCCTTTACTCTCCACGTGGTATGTGCCATTGGCATTGAATATACCTATTTCAACCAATTTATTATCGTGGGTAATATGAATGCGCGCCCATCAAGTCTTCGAATTTATGTAACATAGTTGACTCATTTTATCATCTGTAATAGTTATACAATTGATATTGCACTTAATGAAAGATTGGACTCCCACTAATTAAACTCAAAACATAAAAATCCCAAAGTAACTACCAACAAAAAGTCGAAAATCTTCCCAAAAGACAATCTGAAAGCGTGTTTGGGCAATAGTAATACCGAGATGGATGACACCACAAAAGGTCATTTCGAACAGCAATAGCTTTGTTTTGTGTTAGCATCTTTAACTAGGCTTACACGATTGAGAGACACTTCAGATTTGTAGGAATCAGAGTTAAGGACCTTTCTTCTAACATTATCATAAATGGCACGAATCACGATCTCAAAAGCTGTTGTAACATTAGTGGAATCAAGTGCGGATGTCTCTATGAAGAAAAGCCCTTCCTCTTCTGCAAGATTTTTGCCTTCTTCAATGCTCACGTCCCTTATATTCTCCAAATCGCTCTTGTTCCCTACCAGCATCGTTGCCATTGATGTATCACAGTGAGCTGCAAACGTTAAATGTAATCTAATCAAACCCAAATTCATAAAATTCAAACAAAGTTTAATGGTTTTCTAGATCCAAAACGTAAGCTCGATGTGAAATTACAACATTTTCCGATTCAAAGGACTTGTTACGAAATACGAAATCAATTTCTTATCGTCAATAGCAAGTCAAATTGTTTTCAACGAATGGAAAGGAGTAACATAATATCTTCGAGATCTAATCCTTTTGCAACCAAATGACAAATCCAGTAATAATCCAATAAAAACGATAGAATGAGAGAAAATTGAACAAGGAGTGAATTGAAATCGAAAAAGAAAAAAAGGGGGAAAACTTACTGTTGAGTTCACCGAGCCACCGTTTAATACTTTCAAAAGTAGTACGGCGACTAATGTCATAAACAATGAGTGCACCGACGGCGCCGCGGTAGTAGGCGGAGGTGACGGCACGGAAGCGCTCTTGACCGGCGGTATCCCATACTTGAGCTTTAACTTCCTTGCCGTCGATATCTACGACCTGAGTTTGAAACTCGACACCAATGGTGGCCTTTGAGTGCAAATCAAACTCATCTCTAGCGAAACGCGACAGCAGGTTTGATTTTCCGACAGCGGAATCACCAATCACGACTATCTTGAAAAGGTACTCCTCTCCGCCTTCTCCTTCCTCCATTTCTAGAAAGAGAAAGTTGTGATAATGGTGTCCTCGAGACGTGGGACTTTTTAAAGGAATACAAATCCTACTCGTTGAAAAATTAGAATCAAATGATTAATTATGGAATGAGATGATATTTTGATTAGAAAATCATATAAAAACTCTTAAGTTTATACTTATCTTATTGGTTTTTATTTTTTTTTATATTTTATATTTGGTTTTCTATGTATACTTTTTATTCAAATTTTTAGGTTTTCTTTTCCGTTTTTTTTTTAGATTTTTGTTAAAAATCAAACTCATAAAAAAGTTTACTGTTTCTTTTTAATTTTTTTCCCTCTCAGTTTTACATTATAGTTTTGATGCAAATTAAAGAATGTTTTGTATGTGTATTTTAGAACTCATGATATTTAATAATTGATGAGTAGATAATAATTGTAACATATTTAGATATGAATTTATATTTTAAGTTTAATAATTTGATTATTTGACAAATAAATACTCATAAATAATCATCCTAAAAGCGAATTATTAGCACTTTGGTGATCATGACACCATTTGCCACATCCTTCTTTATTCACCATCTCAAGATCGGCATGGTCAGCATGAAAATAGGTGAAGAAGGTTAAATCTAGAAGGAGGGAAGAAATTGTGTGGTTAACCATGATCATGTTCACACGCTCCTCGCCACGTCACCACGCCATGAAGGAGGGGTGGTGTTCTCTCCCGTGAAAGGCTCCACATCAACATTATGATGGTGACATCATAATCATATCCAACAGCCTTAAAGATAGATTAAATATGATCACAGTTAAGATGTTAACGTATTGATTTGACTCAAAATTAATTAGAATGTAATGATTAATAATAAATAAACAAGACAAATCTTTAAAAGATGGTATTTAACTATTTATTTTAAAGCAAATGGTCAATGGCCTAGCGGTATAGAGTGACCATCTCATATGAGAGGTCAGGGGTTCAAGTCTCGGTGGAGACATAGGTGGTTATTTAGGAGTAGATTAGTTAGTTTGCCGTTTCAAAAAAAAATCTAGAGCATAATTTTAAATATATTTATATTTATTGTAGAATATTTAAAAAACTTATTATATATTTGGAGAGGGAGTGGAGGGGCGTTTAACAGAGAATAAATGCGTGATTTACGGAATCTTAACATGCTACACCAATTTGGGTTTCTGCCTAACAATATTCTTTCTTTCCATTATTTATTATATTTTGCAAGGATGATACGTTGCATCTATTTTTCAATTAGCTTGTGCACCAACGTATGTTCTGACACAACTTATTAGCTTATGATTATACGGTATATCTTTTTACCATATATAGATAAAATTTGTAGACAATTAGTTGTGGATTTGACTAGGTTTACCTCAATCATTCATAACAAATAATAACATTAATACCATAACTTTATTTCATTATAGAACTTTATACAAGTATAAGTTATAAACATGAAGATTCAAGAATTGTATGACAACTTTGAGATGAATTTAAGGTTCAAGGTTTGATTAGTTATGGAGTTTTCCATGTTGTCTGAGGAACGGGATCACATCTCGGACATCATTAAGACCCGTAGCAAAAAGAACCATAACATCAAATGTAACACTAAACCCCGAATGCTTCACTGTTCCTTGCTTCCGAAGATCTAAATACCATTCGTATTGATCTTTCCTCAACCCTAGTTCCTTGATCCTACAACATATAATAGCATCAAACTTTAAGGTATTGTACTTTGAAAAAAAAATCTCATTAAGGTATCATACTTTGAAAAATCTACCCAATTATAGCAACATAATATTGCTATAATTGGGTAGATATTGCACGGGTATTACTATGAGTTGAGTTACCTTTTCGTTAAGTGGTTTAGACGTTCCTCCTTCTGGCTTCCCCTTATCAGAGCTCCAACCTGAAAAATAAGATCAAACATGAGTCAAATCGACAAACTTTCTAGGGGTATTTTCGTCTTTCGATGATGAGTATGCATGCCAAACACAAAAATAGGCCCTATAGAAATGTGAAAATGTACCTTTGGTACAATCACATCAAAGGATGCAACAGTCTTTCCATCATCATTTAATCGCACATTGAAAGGCTTTAGTTCTTTAGGGTGATCATGGATAATAACCGGCTTCTTATAAAACTCATCAACCAAATAACTGTGTCAACAAAATGCAAGAAACTTTATAATAATTACACAAAAAAAAAAAAAAATACAAAACGAGAAAATAATATTTTCTTGAAACTCAAACCTTTCGTGTTCTTCGGTTAGTGCCACACCCCATTGGATTTTGGTCTCAAAAGTCTTGTCAGTAACCTAAAGAAAACAATCGATCAATTATAACGACTGAGATTTTACTTCTTTTTAACATTAAAAGTAATTAAAAGTATCAGTAATAGTAAAATATAACAGTAAAAAGACCTTGTTTAAAACTTCTACTGCTGTATCATAAGTGATCTTTTCAAATGACGTTGATGTCATTGATTGAAGGCGATCAATAAGGGTTTTATCAACTCGTTTTGAAAGAAAGTAAAGATTTTCATAACAATTTTCCGAAACCGAATGTGACACAAACTTCAAAAAATCTTCAGCACAATTCATCACATCCTGAAAAAACAACACAAAGTCATTAAAATTATAGATCGAACATGAAAAACAAACAAAAATCTTAACCTCAAGTTCTGCGAATGCTATCTCAGTTTCAATCATCCATCTTTCTGGTAAATATTTCTTCGAATCTGATTTATCCGCATGAAATCTTGGCCCCAATGCATACACATTTCCTAGAGCAGATGCACAGCTCTCGAGATGAAGACTTCCCGAGGTTGTAAGAAAAGCTCGGTTTGTAAAAAACTCGTCATATGTTTTCAAACTTTCGGTTTTTTTGTGAGATTCTGATTTTGATTTTGACTTTGACTTTGACCTCGCTTCTAATTCTGCAGCCAAAGCGTTTGTTTTGTGAAGATCGTGAACAGCTGCATCGAGTGCTTCTTTATTGCTATCGGTTCTTTTAAGCTCTTCAATTTTCTTGCTTTTTTCAATAATCGAAAGCTTTACAGTTTCAAGACTAATATCCGCTGTATCATCCATTGAAACGGGTTCTTCCCGTTTCACTTCTTTACCAGAAACAGTAAAAATTTGGAATTTTTTTGAAAGTCCTTCAGTGTCTGTAGCAGTTAAAATTGGCACCTCCACATGAACGAAGCCTTGGTTTTGAAAGAATGTATGGCTTGCATGATTTAGAGCGTTACGTACCCTCATAACAGATGCCACCTATGAAACAATAAATTGATTATTTTATGTTTTAATTTGGAAATTGGAAGCAAAATGGAGGGAAATATGTTTTTTTTTTTGTTTGTTTCTTACAGTGGTTGTTCTTGGTCTAAAGTGAGCGCAATCTCTCAATCTAGCTAAAGGTAAGCTTTTCTTGGATAAAGGATAGTTGTCTTGATCAACTATTCCGATATGCAGCAATTTTTCAGCTTTGAGCTCGATGGTGTGTTTTCCTTGTAATGAAGGCTTCTGTAAAACGCCTTCTGCTAGAATACAAGTTCCGGTGGGCATGAGGAGGGTTGAAGGAGCTATGGAAGAATCGACCATGATCTGTAGTAAAGTATGAGTTTGATTAAAAGAAGATGAAAAGGGTAGGTGTGTTTTTTAATTACTTTTATACTGTTTTAGTTTTACCTGAAGGCTGATGACGGAAGAACCATCGCTAATTTGTAGAAATGAAATGGAAGGAGGTGGTTGTTTTGGGAAGATGGATTCGAGTTTCTCCTTGGTATGACCGGTGTTTCCGCCGAAAACTTTTATGATGGTTCGGAGGAAAGGAATTCGCGATTGAAAAACTTCAACACATTTCACGTCTTTACCTCCAGTATGCTCCTTGGTGTGATCACCACCCACTGCCGCCGGTGGCTGTGTGGTAGGAGGAGGAGGGTCTTTCCTCATTTCTCGTGAAGATTTAACCCATCCTCCAACCACAACTCTCTGATCAAGCAACCCCAAACCACCGTCTGTACGATCTAGTATAGTTTTCAACAGCACCCTTTTGGAGTACTTTGAAAGAGCCACTGGCATCGGGGATGGCATTTCATCAAGCGGTTGGTGATCAGATGACATTTTCAAGAGATTGATCTCAAGGGAGGTGAAATTACGAAAGGGTTTTGATGGGGTTTTGTGAAATGGAGCTGAAGACGAGAGAGAAAGATAGAGTTGTGGTTGTATGGAGGGAATTGATGGTGGGTTTTATGAACCGATGTAATACTGAAGGTTGATGCTTTTCTTTGGAACAAAATTGGGGAGAATGAGAAAGGAAGGAAGATGAAAGAATAGGGTTATGAGGAAGCTTAACGATGAAGAAAAATGATGGTCTTTGTCTTTGAAACTTGCCAATCGCCATTTTTAAGTGAAAGAAAGAAGAGAAACCGAGGTGTAGAGATAAGGGTTTGGAATTCTTCAGAGGTAGGCTTCTAATCAGTTTTCGCGGGAACACTCTTGAGAGTTGAGACTTGAGACCATGAATGATACTAGAGTAAACTACACGAACGGTCCCTGTCATTTGGGGTAATCTGCAAGCGTTGTCCTTAATTCTTTTTCTTAACTTGGATGGTCCTTAAAATGTATTTTTGTTACACGTTAGGTCCCTCTGCAACATAAAAAGACTTTTTTGCCTTTTTTGTTTTTTAACCTTTTGATTTGTTATTGATGTCATATTTTATATATTATAGAAAAAAAATTTGAGATGGGTCCACCCCCACCTCCTCTTTACGTTCTCTTCACTCCCCATTTTCGACTACCTTCCTCCCATCTCTGACTTCTCGATCTACACCTACTAGATTGGCCGTTAATATCATTCTCATGCTTCTTCTTTCTTCCTTATCGTTTGGCCCTAATTATTGGGATAGGCAAAAAAATCAAGATAACACTTTTTCTCTGTAACCTTTCTTACCGAAGAGTCAAATACAACAGACACATTGAAGACTGGATACGATTAGAACTGAAATAGCTTACTTTTTATCTTAAATTTCTTTTTTCCATCGAATTCTAGCATGGTCATACAATACAGAAACGTATCAGTGTCTTGAATTCATCAATTTCATGTCGTTTCCCACTAATTGAACTATACTACTCACTAAGTATTTAGGTTATCTAATTGGTGGGTATTTCTAATTTGTTCAATATAAGTTGTTACTACTCGATCACAGTAGAATTTCAGGTTTGATTCCTCAATTTAATCTTGTTGGGATTTTCTTAATTTGTTTTTACCGATTTTTGGGGTTTGGGGTTCAGTATGATAGAATGCCAAATCGATCTATGTCTAATTCATCAGTTTAATTTGATGTATGTCTGTTCACATGAGATGTATAGGGAAACCTAGTTGAAAAAAAAACCCTCAAATTGTTGTTTCTTCATGAGATCAGTATGTTTATTGTTGAAAGCGTAAGTCGTAAATTTGTCTTAATCTGCATACCTGAGGCATGATGTTCCAAAAACTCTAGTATTGTTAGTAAGGCCTCAGCGTTATTGAGCACATATTCTAACAAGTACATCGTCGGTGGAGAGGAGGGTCGCCGGCTGGGGGGAGGGTCGTCAGAGATGGGAAGGCGGAGTAAGGAGAACGTAAAGAGGAGGTGGGGTGAGCCCATCTCAATTTACTTTTTTTATAAAATATAAAATGTAAAATCAATAACAAAACAAAAGGTTAAAAAACCATAATGGGCAAAATAGTCGTTTTATGTTGCAAAGGGACCCAACGCATAACAAAAATACATTGTAAAGACCGTCTGAGTTAAAAAAAAAAAGAATGAGGGACCAAATGTACAGATTGCCCCACACCACAGGGATCATTCGTGTAACTTACTCATGATTCTATCTCTACCCTAAATTCGCAATATATACTTTTGAACTTAAACCACAAAATGGACGGGTGGGGACAGTTGATGACAGGTAAAATGAATTTTGATTAAGAAGATCTTTTATTTTTTCTTTCATATTAATTTTCTTACTCGTTAATTTTTTTTAGGAAAAAACATCATAAATGGTCCCTGTGGTTACCTAAAATCTGAAGTTTAGTCCCCGTGGTTTAAAAACCTCATAGATGGTCCCTGTGCTTTCAACTTTTGACGATCGGTCCTTATTGCTAATTCCGTTAAGTTTGTCCGTTAACTGAAGGGCATTTTTGTCATTTCACCATATAGGGACCATTTATGATGTTTTCTTTTATTTAAAAATATATATAAAAAAAATAGTATGCAGAGGGTCCACCCTCTCTCTCGTTCATACGCCACACAACACAAACAAACACAGACGCCTCCATTCTTCTCGTGTTCGTCGGCTCCTCAACCAATTTCTCCCCTGCTCGCCGCCGATTACCATCCCCGCCACTGTGAAGCCATCGGCCGGAGACCTTCGCACCCACCAGTTCACCGAAGACCTACACACCCCACAAATAGAGGTTCGTTTTTCTTCAATAATTTTCCTGCTTTCGTCAATTCTTTTTTTTTCTACTGTTGGTTTTCCTTTTTCCCGTGTTTTCCGTTGAAATCCAAATCTGTATGATTTCTGCAACTTGTAGATATATGTGTGAAATTGAAATCTTTGTGATGTCTGCAACAGGGAACAAGATTAGTCAACGATTTCTTTTATCTAGTACTTACTAATATCCTTGTTTATCTCTATATTCAATTAGTTTGTACAAGTTTAGAGCTTTCTGCAACGGTGTCTTTGTTCAATTGCTACTGTTATGAACAGTAACTTATAGTCTTATACATTGTTTATTGAATATTTCAGTGTTAGGTTTAGGTTTTGATTTCATTTAATTGTTAGGGTTCCATATAAAGTTTGAATAACAAGACCTTAAATTTAAGAAATCGTTAAGAACCCTAGGTTAGTAGGTCCAACATAAAACTCGTATTCTATATTGAAAACGTGAAATAGTTTTGAATCGTATTCTATTTTGGATTCAGGGGAGATGTTTTTCCACATTATTCTGGAGCGAAACATGCATCTCCATCCACGCCACTTTGGTCACGACCTTCGTGAATAACTCGTTTCAAAGCTCATGAAAGACGTAGAGGGCACTTGCAGGTTAATGATTCGTACATTCTGTAACAACTTTCTTCTCCTTCCAAGTTCCAATTTCAACCATGATTATGTCTAATTTGTGTTTTTTGCTTACAGTGGGAGGCATGGTTTCATGAAATCAAAGCTCAGGACTGAACCTTATATGTTCCCTTCAAGTCACCTTCTTCAATATCAGACATTTCGAAAACAAAATCGACATGCTCGGAGAAAGACAAAGGAATGTCATTGTTGGTGCGTTTCGGTTAACAGGGAGGAAGAACAAGGGTGGAGGGATGGGAGAGAGAGACCACTTTTGTATATATATAATATTTTTCAAAGTAAGAAAAAACATCATAAATGGTCCCTGTGGTAGTGAAATGACGTAAATGACCTTCAATTAACGGACAAAACTTAACGGAGTTAGCAATAAGGACCAATCGTCAAAAGTTTTGAAAGCACAGGGACCATCTATGAGGTTTTTAAACCATGGGGACTAAACTTCAGATTTTGGGTAACCACAGGGACCATTTATGATGTTTTTTCTTTTTTTAGTCATTAAATTAAGACAAATATTAAAATCAAATAAGGTTCCTACTAAATTTTCTTGCTCACTAAATTAAAACAAATGTTAAAATCAATAAATAAAACTAAAAGAAAAAAATAATAAATTTCACATGTCATTATTTTATAGGAATAGAAAGATAAATAAAAACAAAAAGTATGCTGATATTTTTTTATTAATGTTATACCGTTTTTATTAATTTCATTGAAAAATATATTAATAAGAGCATATTCAAGATAAACTTTTTTATGGTCTTGTCAAATATTAAGCATGTGTCACATGTTATTATCAAATTAGTATACAAACTTCTAGCGTTTAGTTTAAACAAAACGCTTCAAATCCAAATGTTACCCGCTACAAGATACTCGTTATCAACTTGTTTTGCCTAACATGCCCTAAGATTATCTTTGTCTGACATAACTTATTTTATTTTTTGAGTTTATTGCTATTTGAATTTTTTGTTTGACCATAAAAATAATTTTGGGAGCATATAAACTAACTTTTGTATACTAATTTGAGACTTATTGATAAGCCATCCTATATGTTAAAACAAACTTTTTTCATCTAACAAAACACAACCAAAATTACAATAAAGTCAAAAAAATAATCTAATTTATACACCAAAACCACCCTAAAAGTTTTTTTTTTAAGTTTTACGTTTTACACAATTAACCCTCTTTATTCTATAATATTATTTTTTATTCTTTATATCTATTTAACCTATAAACTTTTATTACTTTTTAACATATTAGTCCCTATAGCGGGTTTCTCACGTTATGCTAAGTTTTCAAACTTAACAACTTTAGTCCCTCAAACTTAAATTTTATTTAATTATGATATAACCTTCTAGTAACCTAAAACCTTTTACATTCAATTGTGAGACTCGTATATTATACGGGTTGATTAAAACAAAATATTAAATAAGAAGGATTAAACGGGACATTTATTTGAAATTGAACTTTTAAATAAGTAAAAGTTATGAGAAAAAAACATACAAAAAAATTACATTAAAATTATGTGTTTAGTTGTCAGATCCGTGTACTAAAGGTGTTAATTATAACAAAATGTTAAATATAAAGGTTTAAATTGTAAATTTATTTAAAATTGAACTTGAAATTTAAAATTTAAAATTTAATTTGAAATTAATATAGTCATTATGGTATGTTTAATTTATGTAAACTAAATTAATGATATATTGAAAATAAAAAAATAAAGTAAATGAAAAGTGGAAAATAAATATTTCAAAATTATGACAAAATTATATGTGGCATAATGAATGAAAGAATGACATGTGGCAAAATTGTTTTCATTTATTACGAAGGATATATATATATATATATATATATATATATATATATATATATATAGAGAGAGAGAGAGAGAGAGAAAGAGAGAGAGACTTAGGTTATTTTATTCTAACTATTTATTGTGTGGATGTAAGATTGATTATGGACCAATCATTTTTGTTATTTTAAAAAAGTGATTAATATATAAAATTGAATTAAAGATAATTGAAAAATAACATCTAATTTCATGATAAGGGTATTTTAGTCAACTAACATAAATTTAAAAAAGGTAAATTGCAGATTTTATATATTAACTAAT